TATATAACTTTTGCGTGGAGAACTGTCAGCAGATAAATTGCAATACACGGTATTGTATCCAATATCACGTGAAAGATTTACAATACACGGCGCAACGTAAGCGAGAATAAAGAATTGGGGAATAAATTAATATTTCTAGAATATAGATTACTTACATAATACGTTAAAACTCGCGATATCTCTCGATCGAACGAAACAAACGATACTAAGCCTTATTCGAAAGATAATCTTTCTTTATAAACAACTATACAAAGTTTCGTAATAAATATAAATACAAAAGTTCACTTATCCAATGAAAGAAACAAATGTGAATGAATATTTATATTAAATTGATCTATCTATCTATACTGTACGAACAGATTCGTACGCATAAATTTGATCGCATATTTGTAAAATGGCGTTACGAATAAAAGGCCATTCGCCCTCGAAGAAAAACGGCGATTAGCATTAACTATGGTAATAATAATGATTCTAATGCAGCTCGTCCGGCCTTGATTCTTCTATTCTACGAATGCTGCGTAATTTAGCGACGCAAGTGGGTTGTAGCGTTGAGCGCGTTCTAACGAAATTTGTCAACCTATTAGTAGACTATCCAAGCCCTTGCCTCTTAATTTACTCGCGCAATACGAATTGTTATTATTGTGACGCGGCCGCGATCCGATCAACTCTTGTGTTTATTCAAAATTGTCAAACATCCACGATTTTTGATTTTTGATAATTTTAAATTGTAATTTTCGAGTTTAATAGCAGATAATATTTGTTCATGTATATATTATAAATAATTAAATTTTTCAGTTTCAGTAATTCTCTGATAATGAAATTATATAGTGTTTGAAGTTTAAATCGATGGCAGACGATTCAATTGAAAATTAAAAATATTTTGAAATATAATTAAAATAAAATTCAAGCTGAATCTTAGGTAAAAAAAAATTAATATTATATATTCAAAATATCGTTCAATTTTTGATTTCGATAATTTTAAATTGTAATTTTTAAATCTAAATCGATAATAGATAATAGCAGATAATAGCGATCCAGTTTTCAAGAATATTTCAAGTTCTATTTACTTATATATAAAATCAAATTTTTGTCGATATCGTTCAATTTTTGATTTTGATTTTCCAATAATGAAATTGTAATTTTGAAATCTAAATCGATGATGAAATAATAATGAGTCAATTAGAATTTACTAAAAAAGGTAATTTTTGATTTTAGTAATTCCAAAACCCATCGTTTTATTATTTTATCATTGTATTCCACATCAGTTCAAGCGAAATTAGAATATCATGGAATACTTAAATCCTTCGAATAAAGAAACAGATAAAGAAATCGTATAAAATTTTCTTATAATTCTATATAGTCTATTTCTATTTTAGATTAAAAAAAAATCTCACAATTACGTCAATGGTATTATTTGGAAAAATCTCAGAAAGCGTAATCTATCAATTTATTGAATTTATCGTAAGAATTATTTACTTACGACTTTACTTTTCCCAAACATTCAAAAACATATAGTTTCGATTAAAAGTTGCACGCATATTCCACGGGTAATTATTTTTATGTGCAACTTTTTTATCCCGATACAATTAAACTTTGCGCGTCGTAAAATAATTTTGTTGTAAGTGAAGAACAAAATTAACGAAAAAAAAGAAAGAAAAGAGACGGGAGAAACGTTCGTTTCATTCGTTTTCAGTGACAAGATGAGACCGTATGTACTAATTTATTGCCGTCTTATCGTAGATTTTAAATTTTTGTCAACAAGCATAATGTCTTGACATGCGTTTGAGAACAAGCATACGAACGTCAGACGGTATTTCCTACAAGTCACGCCAAAATTACTCAATGATGACTTGCGTTCCAACGACATTGACGCGAATTCGTTATTTAAATCGTTGTGGCCGAACCGCGAAAATGGCTCGAAACGAATTGTGTTAAATGCAATGTAAAGGAACAGTGACTTTGTTACAAGTTATTATATACGTATACGTTATGCATTCCTCGTCTCTATTGTCGTCTTCTTAAGAAGACGTTACGCATTAAGGCAGAAATATAAGACGCGTTACCGTAAGAACAAGGCACGTGCATCCAGAGTTCTCTAGCTCGGTTGGTAATGTCGCTTTTTTAATTATCGGGCTGACCGTGATAATAATCGGTTTCGTAACGCTTTCCATTTTTCGTGGCTCAAGGTTGCCGAAACTGTTTGAGTTATCAACACTGTTGATCGCCTATTAAACAGAACGAAAAGTTAAGCTTGTATTTTTTAATTATACCTCTGTATCCTCGATATCACGTGAAAATTGTACAACAGGAAAAATCGAATTGCGAGGTTATGTTCGAAAATTCTAGAAAAAAAAAAAAAAAAAAAAAAAAAAAA